TCCCACATTGTATGCATTCAAATGGTTTGACCCCTGTGTGGATTCTCCTATGGGAGACTAGGTTTGAGCTCTGATTAAAGCTCTTCCCGCATTCCAAGCACATATAGGGTTTCTCTCCTCTGTGTATTCTCATGTGGCAAGAAAGATTTCCACTCTGACGGAAGCCTTTTCCACATTCCGAGCATTTAAAAGGTTTCTCTCCTGTGTGGATTCTCAGATGGGAAGCAAGATTTCCACTATGACGGAAACCCTTTCCACATTCTAAGCACTTGTACGGCTTCTCTCCTGTGTGGATTCTCATATGGGAATCAAGCTTTCTACTCTGACAGAAGCTCTTTCCACATTTCATGCATTGATAGGGTTTCTCCCCTGCGTGGGTACTTATAGGGGTAGCAAAGTCTGAGCTCTGATTGAAGCTCCTTCTGCGTTCCAAAGAATTAAATGGTTTCTCTCCTGTGTGAAGTCTTAAATGGAAAACAAGGTCTGTGTTTTCACTGAAGTCCTTCCCACATTCTGGGCATTGAAAGGGTTTCTCCTCTGCGTGGATTCTCATGTGGGAGACAAGAGACAGACACTGATTGAAGCTCGTTCCGCATTGCAAACATTTCAACATTTTCTTTGCTGCATGGAGTTGCTGATGGGAACCAAGGCTTCTTCTATCACTCAAAGCTGTACTGCCTTTTAAGAATTCTTTCTGCTTTTCATCAATGTCTGTACCTTCTTCTTCCTCGCTCCTCTTTTCTCTTGTACTAGTAGCTGAAATGAGAAAAAGAATCAAAGTGGAACCGAGGTAAAAAAAAAAATCACAGTCCGGAAATGAACCATAGCAAATCTATAAATTTTATGTAGCAGACTTAAACAGGAGACAACTCTCATGCATGTGGCATTCATTTTTTTTTGGTCCCATCTGTAAAATTCATTTTATGAATCTAGGGGGCAGAAAGACAAAGCTCACCCAGAGAGATCAGACTGGCTACATTTTCCTCCATGACTCCTTGGTGCAGAGCCCTTTGGCCGTCATCCAGCAGAGCCCATTCCTCTTCCGTGAAATGGACAACAATATCCTCAAAAGCCATCATCACACCCTGAGAGAAAGGGAGAACATTTCAGCTTCAAGAAGGAAGTCTACTGCAATTCATTAGTATAAAGAAAATAATGATGAGCAATCCATGAGACAGGTGCTTAGATTTAAGGCTCAATCCATCCTACCACAGACAACATTTATTTTTATTTATTTTATTTAGATTTATACCCCGCCCATCTGGACAGATAGTCTGCTCTGTCCGCATTCTTAATGGCCAGCCTTGGCAAAGGAAAAGGAAAACAGGACTAATACCTTCACATTCTGAAGTGTTTCCGAGGGGGAAAAGCACTGAACGACTATCCACCGACTTGTTCCAACTAGAT